TACATCACTGATGGGTAAAAGTTAACATACCTTAGATCTTTATCATTTTTGGGGGTAGGGAGAGAAGATGAGTAAGCCTAATACAATCAAAGACCCTTTTGTTATAAAAGACATAAGCAAATTTAGAAGCCATAATACAAAATCTGTCCTTATTAGAAAGAATAGCTATCATTTTCTGTTCCACATTTTTTTAAAAGTTGATACACTTTAAATTATATTACCAATACCCAACTTAGTTGCTAATCACCCTAAAGAACTTAAATGAAAACTAACAACAGACTTTCCAAGAACTTTCTGAAATGGTTCAATGCTTCTATCACAATCTATACTGATTGTTCTTGGATTCTGATCACTAGGGACATTGAAGCTTCCTCCAAAGGGCTGTAAGTTTTTAAAATTCAGAATATTACCGCTTCATTCTCACTACGCATGACTCTCAAAATGAAAACAGGAAAAAAAAAAAAGCCACCTAAAGGTTTATTATCATTTTGCTTTTAGAAAGAAAACACATCCAAAATGCAATTCCATATACCAAAAATGCTTTCCTTCATCTGTAACTAATTGGAACCTGAAGGAAAGCCCCTAAAAATACCAAATTTTAGCTAACACAGTTACTAAACAGCTAAATCAGAAGCTTTAAATCTAAAATGCACAGGATAAACAGAAGATATACTATAATAAAAAGAAATAGAAGTTTTTTAATTTTAATCTAGTTTTTTTTAATTCTTTTTTTTTTATTATTTATTTACAGAGTGGAGAGGGAGAGGGAGAGAGAAAGAGAGAAAGGTATTCCTTTGCCATTGGTTCACCCTCCAATGGCTGCTGCGGCCGGCGCAATGCGCTGATCCGAAGCAAGGAGCCAGGTGCTTCTCCTGGTCTCCCATGGGGTGCAGGGCCCAAGCACTTGGGCCAACCTCCACTGCACACAGCAGAGAGCTGGCCAGGAAGAGGGGCAACCGGGACAGAACCCGGCGCCCCGACCGGGACTAGAACCCGGTGTGCCAGCGCCGCAAGGCGGAGGATTAGCCTATTGAGCCGCAGCGGCGCCGGCCTTTAATCTAGTCTTAATTTGAGAATTTCACGGTTTGCATATTAGCAGAGAACACAGACACTTTCAATTACATAAAAAAAACTAAACAGAAACTATTTTACTAGTGTTACCAAATATTTGTTGTGCAATATATCTATATAAAAATAAAACACAAGTATATAAACACTGCATTTAAAAGAATAAAATTACCTGAGAATCTTAGCTGTATAATTTATTGACTAAAATTCAACACATGATTAGCCTAATTCTTCAGATGTACTAGGGTATTTCAAAAAGTTCATGGAAAATGGAACTAAAAGATATTTATTTGGGGGCAAAATATTTTGAAGTCTATACATTCGCGTTCGAGCTTGGATAACCTTTCTTTAGTATTAGTTGTCTAGGCTTTGAATTATGATCCTGGCATTTAACTTGATGCCTTTCTCTTGAGCACATTTACTGAAAATTTTTTTACTTCCTTCCATTCAGATATTTCCTTTACTCTTCCTATTAAATACCAAATACAATGCAAATATGAAGGTGTTTTGAGCTTATTAACTTTAAGAAACTTTATCATCATCCAACCACAAAGCTCATTTCATGAATTTATAAAAATATCAATTACAGATGAAGTAGGCCTACAGAGGTTGAATGACTCGCCCAAGGTCACTTAGCAATACAAAGCCGGGACCCAAAACTTTCCAATTCAAGTCCAGTGTTTTTCCACTGTATTATTTTGCCTTCTAGTAGCAACAGAGACCTCAAAAACTCCAAATCTGTGTATTTATTGGCTTAACTTATTGTACATTATGCTACCTTTACACCAAGAGAAACAAATCTAGGTTCAACAGCCGATTATTAGGATTTTATGGGGGGAAACAAAGATACAAAAAAATGACCTGAATAGCGTAAGCAGTTAATGCAGAGATTAAATTCCTTGCTTCCCTTTTAAAATTCTCAAGATATTTGGAAAACACAGATGAATCTAGTTCAGGGTCTCAATAAACTGATAAAATCTCTTGTCTGAAAGGATTATGTAGGAAGGAGTTTTATTTGCTTTTTCTTTTTTGGAAAAACGAGCTTTAAAATGTATTGTATCACTGAAAATTGGTAAGTGATGCACCTGTTTGAAAAATCTCCATCAATTAATGCATCTTCCCTTGCAGTGCAAGGTCCTTGAAGACTCTTATGTTTCCACTACCTAGCTCAGATTCTAGTACCAGGCTCAGCTCCTGCTCAAAGATCACTGCCAGGCTGAAATGTTTTGGGATTCTTTGATTTCCAGGCCAGACAGAAAATTGAAAACATTCAACAAAAACACTATGACAAAAATTAGCAATCCAATTAAAATTAGCTTTAAGTGCACCGTCAAGAGATAATTATCTTGCTAAAGGTGGTTAAGAGAACACCAACTTCACTATCTGTTATGATACTGGATGAGAGAAGTGGGGACATGAAGAATTTATAGACTATTGTTTCTTACCCACAGGGAATTTTGAGGAGGAAAACACTCTAAGGATTTAATTAAGTCATCTTCATTCAAGTTCAATTGTCTTAATAGTTACATTGTGGAAGTAAAATGACTCATTATCATTAGTACTCTTTGCCAAGAGTTAGGGGAACAAATAAATCATGACAGCAGTTAAAACCACCACTCTAGGTATCTTAACAGATACAGCTGTATTCCTCTTTCAAGTAGTATGTGAAAATGAAAGAATATTTTAAAAATATTTTATTAACCCCATTATGTATAATACAAAAAAAAAGTGTGTTTCAGAAATAACGTGAAAACCACCACCCCTGGCCACTCACACTTCTACTATGCCCACATCGTTCAATACAGTGTCTTCCACTTAGTATTTTACTAAAGTGTCACACGTCGTGGTCGGTAGTTGACATGCTCGAATTCTCACAAACTCAGTGTCATGGCAGTTATTCCACATATATAATCCCATACAGATAAGGAAACTGACAGGCTAAAGAATTTATCCAAGAAATTTATATCCAAATAAGGTTAATATTTTCAAATTTATAAAAGAATAAACCAAGTTTTTTCAACATAAAATGCACCTACAGCAATTAAGATTCTAACTGCAGCTGATCTGTACATACAGATTTCTGTTGTCCACAAAACGAATTTACAACGAATTGGGTAAATTCTGTTAAATGACCTTCAAAAATTTGAATGCATACTTAATGCACTACTTACTGTAGTAGTTAAGACATCTTTAAATTTTATTCCTCTTTCTGAGAGCTTCCTAAGCCAAGGCTGCCAAGTCATAGACTTAATTTTGGAACGTATCTATTTCTAGGTTTAAAAATACTAGGTCTAGGGTAACCAAACCTTGCCACTATTTCTACCGGTGTAACGGGAACACTTAAAATTGACTTTTCCCTCTCCACCTTCCAGATTCCCTGCTTTTACTAACTTTTTAATTTCAACACCTTCCAGATTCCCTGCTTTTACTAACTTTTTAATTTCAAAGGCAAGTAACATAAATGATGTTTTCTGTAATCAATTTAATAGCTAACAGGATTGACTTCAGGAACTTACAAACTTGAGGGCTTCAGTATTCTTAACAAGAGCTGGCGTTTTAAACATATGTATGTTCCTGACCACTTGTTCATGGTAGTTCAAGTTATTCTATCACCTCTTGGTAAGAGCGGAATTCCCTTCAGAGGCGTCCAATTTTGAAGATTAAAGCCCCTACACTAAGTATATGCAAAATTTTAAAAAATGTTAGAAGCTGAAGAACCCAATTTTTGTTCTATGGAAGCGCCTACACCTGAAATTGGCACGGCCACGTTTGACCCTAAATGTGACCATTTCTACAAACAGCGAGCACCCAGGTGAAGACTCAGAAGGGCGAGCGCTGCGACAGACACTGCAGGACGACTCGCTCTCCAGCCACGGGACCGATTTGTTTTCGCAGGCGAGGTCCGTGCTGTGGATTTCCTAATGGGGATGTGATGTCATACTGGAGAGCCGCCGAAGGGAAAGGGATAGGCTGACAAAGGCGGTGCGGGTGCCAGGGGAGCAAGGGGCCCGCGGGCGGCGGGGAGAGGCGGGAGAGGGGAGCGGGGCAGGGGCGCCCCGCGCGACCCTGGGGGCGGGGAGGCGGCCCGACCGGGGGCGCGGCGGGCAGGTGCGGGCCGCCGCCCGGGAGAACCGGGGACACCTGGCGTGCGGAGCCGGCAGGGGGCAGCGCAGGCAGGATGTCACGTGGAGAAGGCGCTACGGGAGCCGAGAGGGTTTGCGTGCGGACAGAGGGGGTCTCTCCCACCGCCTGAAAGACTGCGTTACTCACAGGAGTCGCGGACTCTTCTTGCCCTGAACTGGAGACGGGGGCTTCGCGGCCTGGGACTGCTGCCCTGGGACGTCCAGAGGCCTGGCGCTGGGGCTGCTCCTTCGCCGGCGGGGATACTCGGCCTTCCTCCGGCGGGACACAGCGGCCGCGGCGGCGGCTGCGGCGGCGGCCGCCGCGGCCCGGCCCCGGTCCCGACCGCCCCTCAGCACGCGGCTGCTCGTAGCGCCCGCAGGCGTCGCCGCCGCCGCCTCAGGGGGCCGAGGTTGGGGCTCCTCCGGAGCCGCCTTGGCCGCCGCCGCCTCTCCCCCTTCCTGGTCCTGCTGCTCCGGGGGTCTCGGCTCTTCCGTCTCCCCCGGCATCAGGGCTCGTCCGTCCCCCACCCCCTCGACCCAGGCGGCGGAGGCGGAGGCGGCGGCGGCCGCGACGCTGCTCCCCCCGCCCCCCTCGCCTCCCGGAGCGTCCGGCTCACTCTCACCCTGCGCTCTTCTTTTCCCCCCTCCCCTCCGCCCGGCTCCGAGGGCGCCCCCCCACCCCCTGCCACTCACGGCCCGCTACCGCTGGCGGCGCGCGCGCGCCCGCCACACAACCTCTGCAGACCAATAGGAAAGGAGGGACGGCCTCCTCGCCCCGCCCCTGGCGGTCTCACGCGCAGCGACGCACCAGGTTCCCTCCCTCACCTCTCCCTTCACCCAATCAGGAAACGGCTCTGAGGGAGCGCGCGAGGTTTCCTTCCCCGCGCACCCGTTCTCACCGTTAAACGGCTGCGTCTCGCGACAATCCCAAAGTGACCTTTCCCCCTCTCCGGAGTTCAACGCGAGCTAGGGGCAGGAGGAGGGGCAGGTGTCGCGAAGAAGGTGGACGGGAAAAAACGCACCTTTCCCCGCCTCGCGCGGGCTGGCTGCGCGCGCACCTGCCTCCCTAAGGAGCCGCGAACGCCACAAGGGCTCTTTCTGCCCTTCCTTAGGCCGCAGAAGTAGCCTGGGTGTCCTTCCGTCTCCACCCCGTCCCCACTTTCCTGTCTCTGGCTTTTCTGTCCCCAGCGCCGCCAGGTCTTGCGGGGAGAAGGGGGAAATTTTTTGAGTTGTCGCTTCTCCTTTAAGAAAAAAAGCCCCGTCGGCTGCCGGATGAAAGTCTCCGAAAAAATGGCGTCGGCAGAATGGAGGCGGGGTCGAGGGGGGTAAGGAGGGCCCGCCTCGACGCATGCGCACGATAACTTCAGCCAAGTGCATTGTGGGACATGAAGTCCTGTTTATCCTAATACGTGCAGTAAAAAAAAAATTAGGAAGCCGGAGGCGGAGAGGATGCCGGGAGGTTTTGACTGGCGACGGGAAAAGTAGTTTACTCTGCTGCCGGAGTTTACTTTTTGAGGGAGGTAGTGTTTCCGGGTTAGGCCAGGACGCCTGCGTACATCCCGGCTCGAAAGTTCAGCCAATTGCCGAGCAGGATTGCCTGCGGGAGGGTTCTGTGTTACTTCTGAGTACTTCTTTTTTTTTTTTTTTTTGTAACTTGGCCTCTCTGGTTTTTTGGGGATGGCCACCCAGTAGACTTGGCTTCCTTCGAGGTAGCCAGATGATACCTCCTCAGGGGCAGTTCGGCGTTCCTGTTTGCAACGCTCGTCCGGGCCTCGTGTGTCTGACCCGGGAACTGAGTCTGGCTCCGTCGGGTCTTCGATATCACGATGACCAGGACTCATCGGGCACCTAGTATCTCGGGGCGTGGGCTGACTTGTAGAGCTGCGGTGTTGGGGCATCGCGGAGCTGGCGTGGGCTGTTCGCGTGACTCCGCGACCTCCGCCGAGTGGCTGAGGGCTCCGGCTCGCCGCCCCGGAGCCTCTGGGTCTGCGGTTCGTCCGCGTCCCTGTGTCAGAAGCGGCTCTCTGGGCCCCTGGCGTGTGGAACTAAGTCGTCCTCTGCGCGTCCGAAGGGGGTTTCCGCGTGCAAGTCAGTGGGTGGTGCAGCCGGCGAGGGGCGAGCTGAGCGCTTCACCCTTGAAAACGAAAGCCTCCCGGGTTCCGAGGGTAGAAGCCCCACAGGAAAGAGGACGGAAACAAGATCCGGGGTTCCCGTTCTAAGTTCCACATGAATCATTCAGTTAAACCGTAGACGAGTGCCGAAGGACGTTTTCCTTCCCATGTGTTGACTCAGTTACCACGTTAGGCTAAAAAATTATGTTGGTATTGAGTATTTGGGGACATTTTTTCATTTCCGTAAGGTCATTTCCAGTTGTAAAAATTGTCTAGCCCAGCGTCCCTGGCAGTGTTTCCCGACCGCTTTCTCGGTGAGCAGACTTTTAGAACAGCACTGACATCCAATGGCTGCTTAAAGTAATACAGAGAATTTTTTAAGTCATACAGTGATAAATGGATTATTGGTTTTTTTTTAAAAGACCCCAGTGTTGTAGAAGAATGATACATTCTGTTATTTTAGTGCGATTCCACAAACCTATTTCACCACTGGGGAAATGGGATAAAATATATTTAACAGAGCTACAATTAAAGCTGTTTACATACTACCTTCTCAAAGTAGGCTTTTTGTAATGTTTTATTTCATTTAAGGTAGATGAAGTCACAGGAGTAAAAATGGTGAAGAGTTAATTTCTTGTATTTTTCCGACACTGCTACACAGCTGTGTAACTAGGCCCAGCTGAGATATTTGCAGTTTAAGCACGCACGATATCTTAAAACTTTCCAGTTTCCTTCTTCATGCCCCTTGTAGATGTTTGCATTTGAATCCGCTCAGTCAGCCCCTGAGATCCAAACATGAACCCATTTATGCCTTGCTTTTAATGGATTTTCAGTCTGTCTGTCTAGGAAAACAGGTAAGCATAATTTCTGAATAACTAAGCAAATACAGACTGCAAAAGTAGCTGGGAGCTAGTTAACTGCTATGGAAATTTTAAAAGGGATTCGCCTCAATGGTCCCCTAGGTTCACAGAAGGAAAAAAATAAGGCAGAAGCCCAGGCACAATGGGACATGTACCTTTGGAAGAAAACCACATGTGTGAATGGGCTATTCCCATGAATTCAAGATGAATCCCAGCATATAGTAGGTGCTCAAGTTTTGAAAAATTAATTTTGGATCTTTATCACCATAGCCAATGCACTGCCAGAACTTAAATCTTAACAACCTGCCTTTCAAAGTCAGTCTCCTTTTAAAAACTGTGACCTACTTAAAAAGTAGAAGAAGAAGAAATGCACCAAATCAAAAGAGAGGAAGTGCTAAGCAAATACAGTAACCAAAAAGGGTTATAAAGGCTGCATTACGTTGTCTTGTTCAGTTCCTTTGCGGTCTTCTGTTCAGCACATGCCAAAAGCAGTTCTTCTTCACAACTGGTGAGACCGGAGCATCCTGGGTGTGGGGCCATGGAGGAATTGGGTGAGTGAGGAGCTTCTTGGGAGAAACAGAGGGAATGAAGCAGCAGCCACCATCTCTATGTGCGGGGGTATACTTCTAGTTGTTTGAGGGAGATGTTGGAAGATTTTATTTTCACTTTTGTCCTCTGCTCAACCAAGAGGGAACTGAGGAACTATGATTGGGAACATTTTGGGTTTACTCTTTGTAGTGGCACAATAGGCAGAGAATTCTGTGGTAACCACAAAGTATACTCCAGACAAATACCTTTGGACTGAATCACTTCAAAATTATCATTTTATTATGGGCATATTCTTCTTTGAGGGCTCCTGGAGATACTAGGTTGGCCACACAGCTGGGCAACGACAACCGGGATCTGGGTGAAAAAAAGGAGTCAGGGATTGGCAAATGTGTCACAAGGCGGAGACATGGAATAGACATTCGAGAAAGGGATCTGCAGAGGTTGGAGAAAGATCAGTGTGGCTTCAGTTTTTTGTGATTTAGTATTAAATCAAAAAGATATAGTGGCGTAACTCCAATGAGTTTTGTTGCTAAGCTTTTTATTCAGAGAAATTCTAAAAGGACGGATTACTGTGGCATGACAATATAATGCTTCTTTGCACTTCAAGGCAATTAAAACCACCAGCAGAGCCATCAGTCATGTTACCTAGAGAGAAACCTTATTTCAAACCTTTGGAGAATTATGTCTCTCATTGTTGGGACTCATTCCATAGACTCTGCCAACTTTTGTTTCTGGCATCCTAACCAAAAATAACCTTTACCCAATTTCTCAGCTCTGCTGATTGCATGGTCTCCTGTGCTTGTGCATGGTTGAGATGTATCAAAAGTGCAAACAACAAAAACCACAGCTTGCAATTGTATTTTTTTTTTTAAAATTGGAGTTAAATTGATTTAAGAGCTGAAGAAACAGGAAGAAGGGCAAGTAACTGGAGAGAAGAGATGTTACTTAAGAGAAAAAAGGAGGTGTTTAATAAGTATTGAACTGTTTTGGAAGCAAAGTCTACCTACCAATACATTGATACTAGGGTAGACTAGTTTAGGACTTGATTTAGAATCCAAATTCTTATGCTGTGTGAGTGTTGGGAGAATTTGAATTTCTGTATGTGCAGATTTTTAAATATAATTTTAAGGATACCTAATTTCATGTAGACAGTTCAAAAAGGGAACCGATATTTATTCAGTGACTTAGGCCAAAACTGACATTTTCACATTTGTTAACTATTTCCAGTGTCTGCAGCAACCCTCTGAAGTAAGTATTACCCACTTCACTCAGATGAGTAAACTAAGAAAAACAAAGCTTGTTCAATATTACTGTAAGGAGCACCAAAATCCATTATTCTAAGAGTTCTATTTTATTTTACTTTTTATTTGAGAGACACAGGCAGACAGACAGACAGAGCTCCCAATCTCTGGTTTATCTCCCAGGCTCAATCCAAGTTTCCTATGTGGGTGGCAGGAACCCAACTACTTGAGCCATCACCTGCTGGCTCCCCCAGTGCATATTAGCAGAAAACCGAAAATGGGGGAACTGAGCTGGGACTTAAACTTAAGATCTCTGATACAGATGCTGGCATCCCACGTGGAGGCTTAACCAGTAGGCTGAATGCCATCTCTTCTATTTTAGAAGTGTCATTGCAAGCGTTCTAACTAATGTGATAACTCAGATTTTAAAAATTGTGTTGGTTGGTATTTTCTGAGCAGTTTGGATGGTAAAAAAAAAAAAAAAAAAGTACTGCCCAACAATGTAGAAAGCATTAAAGCATCCTGGAAGCTAACATTTGTGTTAGTTGTACTACTATTAGCTGCAACTCAGCACGCTGTTGGTAGCTTCACCTTAGCAGTTTCTTCCAACTATCATCAGCCCATCAGTAACCGTCAAGATTTGAGGTGGGTTTTCTTCCAGTCTGCAGGGAAACAGTAACAGACACAATGGCTCAGACAAAACATTTCCTCTGTACAGTACTGCCTGGGAGGTTGGTAGCTTGTATCTATCTACCCAGTCCACAGGGATGATAGGCGAAAAAGGAACCAGGAGCAGGCACTGGCTCCAAATCACAACTTGTGGAGACCATGTCCCACCTCAAAAAACCCTACTTTACTTTTCTCTAGTTTATGTGTGGTATTATTTGATTTCCACAAGTAAAAGATTATATAGATAAAGTTTTCAGATTAGTACTTCCCTATCTCCCAGCACCCCCCCCACACACATAATCCTGCATTTGTCATACTGAAATTAGTCATCCTCAAATTACATAAATTGGCCAAAGGCCTAATCTCCGGGTGTTGGTGATACATACATGCACAGGAAGCAGGAAGAAGAATGCCTGCTAACTCATGACCCAGAAGGCCAGCTTGAATAAGTTTGATTAGCTGGTGCTTTTAAGGGTAGCTCCCTACCCTCAGTGGTGTGCTCTCCTTGTTCCTATAATCTCTATTGTATATGAATTTTTATTAATCCAGGAGGATCTTTGATTTCTGATTGGAGGTAAGCTTAGAAAATAGAAAAGAGGCTCTACTTTTATTTATTTTAAATAATTATTTATTTCGAAAGGCAGAGTTACAGAGAGGCAGAGGTGAGGTGGGGTGGGGGTAGTCTTCCATCTGCTTGTTTATTCCCCAGATGGCCGCAACAGCTGGAGCTGGGTCAATCCAAAGCCAGGATCCAGGAGCTTCTTCTGGGTCTCCCACATGGGTGCAGGGGCCCAAGGACTTGGGACCATCTTCTACTGCTTTCCCAGGCCATAGCAGAGAGCGGGACTGGAAATGGAGCAGCCAGGTCTCGAACCTGTGCCCATATAGGATGCCGGTGCTGCAGGTGGCGGCTTTACCTGCTACTGCCACAGCGTGAGCCCTGGGGCACTATCTTAATAGATACTGAGTAAAATTTTTGAATTCTGAAATTTGTAATTGAGTCTGAGTAATAAAATCCCAAGACAAAAATGTTTATTTTCTACTTCACTTTTCTTTCTCTTTTTTACTTATGTTTTTATTTTAAAGATTTATTTATTTATGTCAAAGGCAGAACTACTGAGAGGGAGAGGGAAACAGAGAGAGAGAGGTCTTCCATTTGCTGGTTCACTCACCAAATGGCCACAAAAGCTGGAGCTGTGCCAATCTGAAGCCCAGAGCCAGGAGACAGGAGCTTCTTCCGAGTCAAGAATTTTAAAATATAAAAAAGTGGAGAAAGTAGTTCAGTGAAATAAGTTATACCCATCAAGCAGTTTAAGCAAACTTGACTTATGTATATACCATCCATTTCTTCTACTCTTAAATTATTTTTTAAAAATTTTGTATGTTGTATCATTTCATCATAAATAATTTAGCATTAATCTCTAAGATAAATATATACTTATACAAATAACCATAATACCAGTATCATTTCCACAACAGACATAATAGTAATTTCTCAGTATCATGAAATACCATTATAACACCTAAAAATGAATAGAAATTACTTAATATTATCAAATATCATCACAGATAAAATGAATTAATAGTAATTAATATGATTAATTACAATATTGACTATTTCATTTTTAAAGTTCATTTAATCATCCAAATAAGGTTCATAGATTGAAATTAGTTATGCTTAACTTCTTTGAATTTATAGGTTTCCTCTCCATTGCTTTCTTTCCCACTACAATTTGTTGTTGAGAGATAGTTTGACCTGAAGAGTTTAGTTCAGTTTGCTTATCTCTAAAATGTTGCATGAAAGTCAACATTTTTGTAAGATGTAAGACTGCAAAAAAGCATATGATTTCATTTGTAACAAATGATTAGGGAGCCGGTGTTGTGGCATAATGGGTTAAGCCCGCTGCCTGCAGCACCGGCATCCTGTATGGGCAGTGGTTTGCAACCCAAGTACTCCACTTCTGATCCAGATCTCTGCTAATTCACCTGGGAAAGCAGCAGAAAATGGCCCAAATACTTGAGCCCCTGTACCCACATGGGACACCCGGATGAAGTTCCTGGCTCCTGACTTCAGCCTGGCCCAGCCCTGGCTATTGTAGCCATTTTTGGGAGTGAACCAGTGAATGGAAGATCTCTGTCTCTCCCTCTTTGTTTGTAACTCTGCCTTTCAAATAAATAAATAATAAATAAAAATAAATCCTTAAAAATGATTAGGAATTTCCTTATGGCATTCAGAAATATCCAGGAATGGGTCTTGGGCATAGAAGTTACCACACCAGTTGGAACAACCTACATCCCATATCAAAGTGCCTGATTTCTAATCCTAGCTCCACACCCGATTTCAGCTTCTTCCTAATAAGTGTACTGAGAGGAAGCAGATGATGTCCCAAGTTGTTGGGTCTTTTTTTTTTTTTTTTTTTTGACAGGCAGAGTGGACAGTGAGAGAGAGAGACAGAGAGAGAAAGGTCTTCCTTTTTGCCGTTGGTTCACCCTCCAATGGCCGCCGCTGCAGCCGGCGCACCGCGCTGATCCTGGCAGGAGCCAGGAGCCAGGTGCTTTTCCTGGTCTCCCATGGGGTGCAGGGCCCAAGCACCTGGGCCATCCTCCACTGCACTCCCTGGCCATAGCAGAGAGCTGGCCTGGAAGAGGGGCAACCGGGACAGAATCCGGCGCCCCAACCGGGACTCGAACCCGGTGTGCCGGCGCCGCAAGGTGGAGGATTAGCCTATTGAGCCACGGCGCCGGCGTTGGGTCTTTTCTACGCACGTGGGAGACCCATATTGAGTTCCCAGTTCCTCACTGAGGTCTGCCCTAACTCTGGCTATTGTGAACTATTAGATGGAACTCATTTTTCGTTTGCCTCCATTTCTGTATGTCTGCCTATATTATTGTATAATAGCAAGAAATATCCATTCCCCCCAGAATCAAAAATAAATGAAACTGTGTTATGTTTTTGTTTTTTAATGATCTGTAAATTTCACTTTCCTCACTGAGAACTTTAGAACTAGGCAGGTCCTTATAAGTAATATAATCTAGTTTTTTTTCAAAACTTTTTTTTTTTTTTTTGACAGGTAGAGTTACAGACAGTGAGAGAGAGAGAGAGACAGAGAGAAAGGTTTTCATTCACTCCCCAAATGGCCGCCATGGCCGGCACTGCACCGGCCTGAAGCCAGGAGTCAGGTGCTTCTTCCTGGTCTCCCATGTGGGTGCAGGGACCCAAGCACTTGGGCCATCCTCCACTGTCCTCCTGGACCACAGCAGAGAGCTAGACTGGAAGAGGAGCAACCGAGGCTAGAACCCGGCACCCATATGGGATGCCAGCACCTCAGGTGGAGGATTAACCAAGTGAGCCATGGCGACAGCCCCTTTTGCCAGACTTTTAAAAACTATAACCTGTGGCAAGAAATCCACTAGCAATCCAAGATGAGTCTTGACCCACAAGCTTGAAAACTGTTCTGATCTAATTGCTTCCTTATGTAGACGAGGAGACAGCTTCAGAGAAGATGTCATGTTATAGATAATCCAGAGAGTTCTTGTGAGAATGGGGACTGGAACTTTCAGTTAGTGCTGTAAGATAGCCCATGTGCAAATACTGGTGTTGTGCTCGTGAGCATAAGCAAGTTATTGTCTACAAAATGGGGACAATAATATCATTTGCCTCAAGATATTAGAATGATTAAATGAAATGTATAAACTGGAGACGTGGCTGGCACATGATAATTTTTATTGATTATTAATATTAGTAATTTCATTATAACAAAACGTTACACTAAAGTGCTTCTAAAGTTCACTGAATTTCCGACTGCAAGGGAAACAAGTCCCAACTATTTGGATTGCAACATCGTATTTATTTTGCAGTATCTCAGTTTTCAGTTTTCTTCTCAAGCCCTTTCCTCCTCCATACCTCAAAAGACAGAATATTTACACTTTGGTAATGTGCTTGGGATTTAAAAAAAAAAAAAAAGCACCAGGATAAAGAGTAATCATTAGGATAAAGAACTTTCCTGGAATATTTTGTAAAACAGTAATATAATAGCTTATTTTTTCTTATAGAAATATCGAGAATTTTTTTCTACTTGGGGATCTTTGTGAATAATCTTCCCCAATGAGCAATAAAAATTGGCACCTGCAATATAGTGTTATGGAACACTCCCAAAACTGGTTGAAGAAATTGCTACAGAATCCCCAAAACTGGGTCTGCTCACCCAACATGCAGGAAGCCAGTTACTGACACTAAGGTGTTGAGAAGGAAGTAGGGATTTATGGCAAAGCTCAGATCAAACAGCCAAGGAGCCATTGCTTAATTCCTAAGCCCCCTGAGGAATTAGAAATCAAGGTTCTTCTGGGTTGAAGTTGGGGTTGAGAGGTGTATAGTCAGCTCATGTCCAGGACCCTTGTTGGTCTGTAGTACTCATTGCCCTCTTTCAGATGGTCAGCAATATCATTTCTTTGGGGAATTTTGGTGATGGCAAACTGGGCTCCAGTCAGGTGGTAGTTACTTCCCACTTGGAACCTGGGGTTCCTGGAAAAGAAACCTTTCAACAAAACTGAACATCAAAATGTTATCAATAGTGGAGGTAAATGACCTCATTAGTCCTCTGATCAGAGACCCTGGGGTTGGCTGTACCACTCCCTCCATTCAGTGAGTCAATTTTAGTAAGAGATTGATTTGCAATCATATAAGCCAGACAAGGAAACTAAGCTAAAGGAGGGATTCTGGGAGACCATGGGAGACTAGGACTTGAGAGTATCTGTTATCTTTATAAAAGATACTTTATGGGGACCTAATTTCCATAAGTCAAGTTATAGGGTGAGACTATGAAATGCAACATACAAAATAAGAACAAGTGACAATATGTGGAGGCATTAAGCATCTCCTTCTTTAAACACCAAATTCTTGCAGTGAAATAAGTAGAAGAAGGTGTTTGAAAATAGTTTTGACCCATGAGAAGAAGGTATTGAATGGTGATGCAGCAGTGTGGCAGGGGTTGATGTTTAAGGGGAAACTGATTCCAGAAACTTCATACTATTTTGATTCTCTTGTTTGTTATGGTAAAGATGCCTTGTTGGAGGAACTGGAACGTTCCACTCTCCAGGACAGTGATGAATATTCCAACTCTGCTCCTCTTCCACTGGATCAGTCTTCCAGAAAGGAGAGTAACCTGGATGAGACTTCGAAGATGCTCTCCGTCCAGGATAGCACAAATCCCTTTCCGGTAACTTTTCATTTATTATAGAACCTTGAATGTAGATCTCTGAGTGCATTTCTGAAAACCAGTTGTATCCCACATAAAATGATATGAAAGGAGAATCATATACCAAGAAAGACAGCAAATAACCCTTCAATGATAAAGATTTTGTGTACATATGTGTATGTTTTATTTTGGGTTGTGTTAGTTTGAAGATAGAAATTTGTTTTCTTACTATTCTAGACTAAAAGTCCATGATCAAGACAAAGTGTTTGGATCTTGATGTCAAGATTGACTAGATCTGGTGTCTCCTAGGGCCTTTACTTGGCTTGGAAATGAGGCCTACTCACAAGTTTTGAAGCTTTCTGTGTCCTTGAACATTCAAGATGGTTTTTTTTTTTTTTGAAAGATGAGGATAAATGAGAAAATCACCATAGAAGACTAAGACTATGATAAATTTTTTTTTCTCATAATGTCATGCTAACAGACAAAGTATTGTATCGATCACTTGGTATATTCTGATATTATTTCTGGACATCAGAGATAGATATTGTATTTATTTTAAAAAATATTTATTTATTTATTTGAAAGGCAAAGTAACAGAGAGGCAGAGGCAGAGAGAGAGAGAGGGAGAAAGATCTTCCATCTGCTGGTTTACTCCCTAAATGGCTGCAATGGCCAGAGCTGGGCTGATCCGAAGCCAGGGACCAGGAGCTTCTTCTGGGTCTCCTATGTGAGTGCAAGGGCCCAAGGACTTGGGCCATCTTTTACTGCTTTCCCAGGCCATAGCAGAGAGCTGGATCAGAAGTGGAGCAGATGAGACTTGAACTGGCGCCCATATTAGATGCCAACACTGCAGGCGGCAGCTTTACCCACTACACCACAGCATCGGCCCCGTAATTCATTCTTGTCCACCATATGAAATAACCAGTATCACAGGCCTGAAACTTGAACCCATGGGTAGATATCTCCCCTGTATTTCCTCCAGATGGCTCATTTCTCTCTCTGTTAGGGAGCTATTGTCTTCATTGTTGCTGTTAGGTTATAGCCCAATACTCCTAACTGTTCTTCTGTCCTTGCCTCCATGCAGGGTGATCCTTTAAAAACTCTTGTCAGACAATACCTTTTTTTTTTTTTTGAGGATTTTTGAAAGATTTATTCTTATCTACTTGAAAGGCAGAGTAACCAACACAGGGGTTGGGAGAAGGGGAGAGATCTTCTTTCTACTGGTTCACTCCCCAGATGCCTTCAACACCCAGGGCTGGACCAGCCCAAAGCCAGGACCCCAGAATTTCATCCAGGTCTTCCATGTGAATGGCAGCTTGAGCTATCACCTCTGCTGCCTCACAGGCTGCATTAGCAGGCAGCTGGATTGGAAGCAGAGTAGGTAGGACTCAAATCCACACCCCCAAGTGGTGGCTTAACCCATTCTGCCACAATGTACACCCCCATGCCATTTTTCTATTCAGAACCCCATGATGACTTCCCATCTCATTTGAAGTAAAAGCCACTGCCTTTACACTGATCCTTTTGGGGTGATTATAATGAGAACACCAGAAATTTCATGGACATTAAAATTTGCATTTTTTAATCAGAAAGAGAGAGAGAGAGATCCCACCCACTACTTCACTCCTCAAGTGCTCATGTTGGCCAGATCTAACTACTTGAGCCATCACTTGCTGCCTCCTAGGGTCCACATTAGCAGGAAGCTGGAATCAGGAGTGGAGCTTGAACTGTAGCCTAGGTATTTTGATGTGGGACACAGGTGTTTAACCATTAGGCCAAGTATCTACTCCTGCATTATCTTTCATTTTTCATGAACTTTTTGAAGCACTCTCCTATGTCTTAGTTTACCTGGAAGAGGCCTGGGTTAATGTTTGTTTTTCCAATATTCTATTGACTTTTCCATTAATTTCAGGATTTTTGTTTTCTTTTAAATTTTCTTGCTAGTATTTGTGTTAGAGTAAGCCAGCGTTGGTTAGCAGACCTCCATCTGATTCTTCTGGCCTCTTCCAGTGCTTAAATCATGTAGGCAGTGGTGAGAGGTATTTTGTTTTATTTTTTATTTTACTTATTTGAAAATCAGAGTTTCAGAGACAGAGGGAGAGACACACAGAGAGATCTTCCCCTTAGCTGGTTCACTTCCCAAATGGCCACAATGGCCAGGGCTGGGCCAGGCCGGAGCCAGGAGACTCTTCCAGTTCTCTCACTTGGATGCAGGGGCCATCCTCTGCTGCTATCCCAGGCGCAAAGTGGAGTGGTCAGGACTTGGACTGGCGCCCTGAGCACTGGTGCTGCAGGCAGTGGCTTAAACGCACTACACCACAACACCAGCTTTCTTCATTGCGGCTAAGTCCAAAAGGTAACTAATGATGAGAGGTAACTAACCTCTTTTCCATATCCTTAGATAGAAAGGTTAAGGACAATCTAACCAACCAGCAGTGTTCCAAAGAAAATATGCAGGATGTTGGCTGTATAAACTAAATGTTTGAGTGCAAGAAGTCAGCGGCAGTTAACTTCTCTGGTCTTAGGTGGTATAAGAAAATTGTTGCAGGTTTTCTGCTGTGGGCCACTTGGTGTCCCACCACTAATGCTCTACCATTGTCCCTGCGGTGGTCTGAGAGATGCAAGGAGTCTCCTCAGGGTCAGTGGGAAAGATGGGAAATTATGCCTTAGTGTTTTACAAATTATGTTTGGGAAATGGAGGCTAGGCTTTCTCGCCATGGAGCATAATGTAATCTGAATGTGCTCGTTAAAGCAGTTTTGAGATTATTTGTATGTATAAAGCTCTGTTTGTTTTATTTGGTAACACTTTTTAAAAATTTTACAATAAACCCTTTCAGCAGTTAGCTCAAAACAAACCAAAAGCCAAACAGCTTGTTTAGTTTTCTTAAGAAAGTTGATGACGCATGTGTAACTCAAAATACTTGTCAACAATTAACATCTACCACAGGGACAAATAGAGATATCAGTATCCTTTAGTAAAGCAGGAGGCACACATGGTGAAGAAGCATCGGCGTCTACTTCGAAAGTTAACACATAGCTACAAAAGGATGTGCCACAAGAGACAATTCAGCACAAGCAGCTGTGGGAAGAGTGTTTGCACTTCACTGGGAATCACACCTTCCGTCATTGTCAAACAGCTTTCCTAAATCCACGTGGCTCATTTTCAATTCCAAGAAGCTTATAAGTAACGTGAACTTGTGATGAATAATGAGTTGATTCCCTGTGCAAACCATCAAATCATGTCCATTTTGTATCAGTGTTATCAGAGGCTTCAATCAAGAATCTATTCATTCCAAAACGATTCCATTTCTTTCATTTAATCAAAAGAATAAGAATAAAACGTTTGCCTGTTCACTCTCCAGTTACAAAGTGAAACCTGAGATTGCTAATGCCATTGCAAACTTAGTTGAAAAGTTTAATATGAAAGATAAAATGTTGGTTTTTGTGGTGAGAAGATGCATACAAATGTTGGTGGAGCATAGCATTGTGGTAACATTACGCCGTATTCTTACCAACTTCAAAACCTGAGAAGCAGAAATGTAGTTGGAACTAGCTGCAGTGTGCACAAAGTTGATGACTGCATCCAAACAAGCTACAGTGTTCTACCAATCAATATAGAAACTGCAGTCATCAAAATTTACAAATGTTATATTCTATAAATACACAAACTTTTGTGGCTAAAACAGATACCAAACACAAAGAAACAATTCAGCACGGGTGTGTGTGTTTTCTCTCTGTGTTGCCTGTCAATTTTGCAAATGCCAGAGAGCCTTTGAAAAATCACTTTGTAAGGCCATCCAAATTTAGGTTACAGTATGTCCAAAATCAGTTGGAAATATTTAACCAAGTTGCTCAATGAATGTAGCATGAAAATTCAGCTTTCAAGGCTTTTAGCAAGGTGTAAGTTTCTAAAGAAAAGCTTGCAAAAAGGAAGCAGTTCAGATTTCTCCCCCCAAAAACCTGGAAAGACATTGAATAAATCAAAAGATGGGAGGCTGCATGTTTTAATTATCTAATTTGAAAATTGTGCTTCAGGAAAATCTTGACTTTGATGGATTTTCAACTCCTAATTTTAATTGGACAAATTTATATTCTTCACTAAACAGAATGAAATTGTGGAAATCTATGATTTTGAAGTATTTGTATTTGGCAAAATGTTGAAAAGAATTATAAATTGGGACAATGTGGAAATTTTATCTTATAAGAATATTATTGAAGAAAGGAGGAAGCAGGAAGACAGCAGTTCTTGAAATATTGACCTGAAATATTTATGTATTGTAATATAAAAGTAGAATTAAGAATATTCTCAATTGAGCAGAATTTGCTCTGAATTTAGAGGTTCATCCGTTTCTAAAGAGGGATCATGTTTTCAATTAAGAACGTTATAGTCTTCAGAGAAGCATCAAAGAGCCATCAATTTCAAATATTTTAATCATAAAATACACCTTTGAAGAAGATTGTAGTTTTATGAAAATTAAGACACCATATTGAAAAGCATCTTTCAGAAAATGTTCCACATCACAATGTTGGAGACAGCAATGGCTAATTTAAAAAAAAGTTGATTTCACTGAAATACGTGTAGAGAGTAGAATAGTGTTCACTAGAGGTTGGGAAGGGTAGGGAGAAAGAGAGAGTGAGGTTGGATAAAGGGTACCAAAATACTGCTATTTGGGAGAAATAAGCCTCCTATTTCACAGTACCACAGGGTGACTGTAGTTCACAAGTTATTATATATTTTATAACAAACTAAAAGACTGGAGTTCAAATATTCTCAATGCAAAGAAAAAAAATATCTAAGGAGCTTGAGATGCCAATTACCTGACTTTGAACAATATACATCGCATACATATATTTAATTATCACACTGTACCCATAAATATGTACAATTATTATATATTATAAAAAGTAAAATGTATTTTAAAAGTGACTAATAACCAATGAAGGTATGTATTATATATCAATAATAATGATTTATTTGTTTGATTTTTGGTGTTCAGATAATATGACATTCCTTAAAATTTGGTTTAATGTTAGTCACATGCCATTTAAGATATTTTAGAAAATTTTGTTTAGAAAATAAGCTTTGAGTAGAATTATCTCATAGGTTTACAATATGATAAAACAATTTTTGATCAACAAATATATTTTAAAAATAATAAGAGTGGGAATTTGATGTAGTGGTTTAGATGCCTCTTGATATAAGTAAGCAGGCGTGGCTCCACTTCCGATTCCAGCTTCCTGCTAATGCACACTCTGGGAGGCATTAGGTGATGGTTCAAGTAGTTGGGTCCCTGCCACTCATACGGAAGACTTGGACTGAGTTCCCAGCTCCTAGTTTCAGTTCTGGCCTAACCCCAGGTGTTGTGGGCATTTGGGGAGTGAGTCAGCAGATGGGAGACCTCTCTCTCCCAATCGCTCTCTTTCTCAATAAATAGATAAATAAATACATTTAAAATGTGAAAAAGGAATTATTTTTAGAATTGCCTTTCACTTTCAAAAGTGTCCCAATTTGGACAGTAAATTATATAGGCACCCTAACATGATCTGACCACTTTCACTCTTTGCCTCTTTCTCCCTGGTTCACTCTACTCAGGCCCTGAGGCTTCCTTGCGCCACAGATGCTTGAGGGTGCTTTCCTAATGGTTCTTCCAACATGGATCACATTTCTTCTGATACCTGCTTACTTTCCTCACCTCCTGTAAGTTCTTGCTCACGTGTCCTCTTCTATTGACTCATTCCTTGATTCATGTATGAGTATTTGGCCCTCCTTCCCCCACTTTCCATCTTTTGCACTTATTAATTTGTTTATGATCCATTTCTCATCACCAGATTATAAACTTCCTGGTAGACAGTCTTTATTTGATTGTTCTGTTTTGCTTTTTGATTGCCACATTCCCAACTCTGGGGATATGACAGACAACAAATATTCATTCAATAAATAAATGGATTGTTGGTCCACCACCCTTTAGATCCACAGTTATCTTTTTTTAAATGTTGAGATAATCATGTTATAGTTTACCCCTAAGCACCATTCTGACTAGTTAAAGGGGCTTTACCCTGACCCATTTTGTTTGTTTTCTGGTTTCTATGTGAGAGTGATCTACTTCTCTATTTCAAAGATTTTTAGGCAGAGAAGGGCTGCCAGTATTTGCTTAGATGACAACCACTCTGTTGAGAATTAAGCCTATCTGGCTGGAAATTCCTCTGCCTTAGGAAGGGAGATCTCAGAGATATTCTAGCGTCAGTCTGGTTTAGAAGCTAAAAATATCCTCTAACTCTGGGTGTTGATAAAGACTCACGTTTTAGAAACGAAAATTCATTCCTTGCTCTTTTCTGTCACTTTTATTAGGTACAGCTCGTGTATACCACCAATATCCAGGACCGCAATGTCTACAGGTATTTTTTTATTAATTGCTTTTGTAAATTAAACTTATGAAGTAATTGTTATCAATCTGTGGCTAATAATTTGCTCTACAAGTGTTTATTATTAGAACTTTGACTCCCTCCCCTCCTCAGTTATCCACAGACTTTGAGCAGAGTTGGGATTCTGCTAAGCTAACTGCAACTTCTCGAGGTGCTTGGCTTCTAGTTAGGCTGTTTAGGCTGGTGGGCCCTGCAATTTCTTTAACTACCTGATAAAAGCGATAGGCCAGAATCATTACTGGTGTGTTGGCCTGGCTCTTCCACATACCATGCTGTGGTCCACAAAAGTGAAAACACATCTGAAAAAAACTGAAGTAAAATAACAGCAATATCAGATCTAGGATCAGGGCTAAGCCTAGACATTGGGCCTCCATCGCAGACTAATAAGTGTATACTAATCAATTAGTATATACTAATGAGTATAAATGGAGATATTTGCTTTTCATGAAAATTATGTGTTGAAACAGATTCACTACTAAATCACTTCTCCTGGCCAAAGCAGAGTCAGCAGTCTGAAAAAATAGAAAGGCCACTTTCCGTGTTCCTCTTTAGCGATAGCTTGCAGTTTTTAAAAACACGGCACAAGTTTCTGGGAAGTAAATGAAGGGGCTGAAAGTACAGATAGTAGAGAGTCATGCTTGGTTAAGAATGGTACACCATACCTTATTAGGTTTTAGGATTATACTCAGTAGTGCACACAGAAGGCCAAAAAAAAAAAAAAAAAAAAAAGATGCGGGGGAAGCACTTGTGCTACCAGAAGTCAGAAGTCTTTTTAGAACTTCCCACTCAAGGGTACTTTCTGTTTTGGTGGAAGCGAAGACAATTTATGAATAAGTATTTCCAGTTTATTCCAGTTGCAGTGAGTTGCACAGTGAGCATTCCTCTTGGTCCCTGTTCTTTCTGTTCCCAGGCCTGGTGAAAATCAAAACAAAGTAAGTACAACACCATGCCAGGTGTATTAGTTTTCTTCGAGCTAGGAAACCAAGGCTTCAGTAGAAGCACAAGTGAATATAAGAACATATAATATGAAAAGTCAGCCCAGCCAAATGCAGTTTTCTTGTTTAATCTGACTTTGTGATTAATATTTGGCACCCTAGTCCTATTATTGGCACCTTCTTCCCTGTAGTTATGAGGCTGTGGCTTGTTTTCTCTTCACTTCCTCCTCCTTTCTTGCTCCGTGTTCCCGGGGAGCTGACTCTGCAGGTTGGGTTTTACAAGGCTGTAGGTCAGTTGGCTCTCTTTGCTGTGACCAGTGGGAAGCACTGTGGAGGATGCAAAGTGGGAAATCCAGGGTATTTTCTCCTGTCACCTTCTTCCCTTAGTATCTCTGTTGACAGCTACACCTTGATTTCTGCCAGAGTGACACATCTGCTTTAATTCCAGCTTTCTGCTTTTTAACGTGGGTCTCTGGCTAACTCGTTAACTGTTTCCTTTGGTCATCTTTTTTTCTATAATGGGAACCCTAAGAGGCAGCCGTGACAGCTTGAGTAGTTAGATTCCTGCCACCCAAGTGGGAGGCTTGAAATGAATTCCTAGCTCCTGGCTTAGCCAGTCCAGTCTCAGCCTGGGCATTTGGGAAGTGACTCAGTGAATAGCATCTTCCCCCTCCCCTCTTTCTCTCTCTCTAATAAATAAGTAAAAACAAAAATAGATATGTAGTAGACTGATATAAATCACTGAGGCTTGTATAATTCACTGTAATATAAAAATTTCATCTTTATGATTTACTTTTTAGAATATATTGAACTTTATTTTGCATTTTCATATATCATTTTACTAATGAGTATGCAGGTACTTGAACAGGATCTGTATTCCATTTGTTGAGTTCAAAGTTTCACTGATTCCTCATTTGCTTATATGAATATGAAACCATCATCATATATATTATCTGAACTTTTTTAAAGCTTTTATGTAATGAATGCATTTTTTCATAGATACAACTTTAGGAATATAATGGTTCTTTCCCCCATACTCACCCTCCCCTAGCCCCAACTTCCATCCCTTATCCCTCTCTCTCTCCCAACTCCTTCTTCATTATGGTTCATTTTTAGTTGATTTTATATACAGAGGACCAACTCCATGTTAAGCATAGATTTCAACAGTTTGCACCCACGCACACATACAGCATATAGAGTACAGTCTGGGAACAAAATTTGCAACTCATTAGGGACGGAGGTCCTAAATGGGGAGTAAGTACACAGTGACTTCTGTTGTTCCTTTAACAATTAACACTTTTATCTGTGATGTCAGTGATCATCCGAGGCTCTTGCCATGGGCTGCTAAGGCTAGAGAAGCCTTTTGTGACCATAGACTCACTCCATCGGTATTTGGACACAGCTATAAGTGAAGTGGATGTTCTCTCATCCCTTCAGAGAAGAGTATATCCTTCTTTGATGACCCTTCTTTCCACTGAGGTCTCACAGTAGGATATTTTTTGCCACAGAGTCTTGCCTTTCCATGCCTGAAATGCTCTCACAGGCCTTTCAGCCACACCAAGAAGCCTTAAGGGTTGATTCTGAGGTCAGAGTGTTATTTACAGCAAATGTCATTCTAGGAGTCTGCTGTGTGGACTGCTTCCCATATTGGACTTTCCTTCCTTTTTAATTCTATTATTATTACCAGGCACTTGATATTATTTATATGATCAATTTTATACTTAAAGTTATCTATATGTTGACCTTAACATTTAACATGATCATTTTAATAGTTCAGATGGCATTTATAACATTGATTTTTATGGGTTTGGAGTCCCATGCCAAGTTTTTAGGCTGTACCCTTAGAAGTAAGTCTGTTGGACTGTTGGCAGAACTATACTGCTTTACAGTTATAGACTACCTCCTCCCTCTCTTATTCCCTCTCTTATCCTTAACTGGGATCTTTTTCCAAATAACTTAAAATACATATGATTAACTCTATGTTACATAAAGAGTTCAGCATATAGTATGAAGGAGAGAAAAGAAAAAGAAAAAAGAAAAAAACAAAACAAAACAAAAAGGTTATACAAAATAAAAAGTAACTATGATAAACTGTCCCTCAACAGTTAGGTCAAGGACTATTCAAGTCACTGATTCTAAAAGTGTCAATTTCGCTTCTATTGCTTTCATTTTAGGAGCACTATTAATTCTCCCAAATCAGGGAGAACATATGGTGCTTGTCTCTTTGGGACTGGGTTATTTCACTAAGTATGAGGTTTTCCAGCTTGCTCCATTTTGTTGCAAATGACCAAATTTCATTGTTTTTTACTGCTGTGTAGTATTCCATAATGTACATATCCCACAGTTTCTTTATCCAGTCTTCAGTTGATGGATATTTAAGTTTATTCTATGTCTTAGCTATTGTGAATTGAGCTGTGGTAAACATGGAGGTGCAGATAGCTCTTTTGTTTACTGATTCATTTCCCTTGGGTAAATTCCCAGGAGTGGGATGACTGGGTCATATGGTAGGTCTATATTCAGATTTTTGAGGTATCTCCATACTGTTTTCCACAGTGGCTTTACCAGTTTACATTTCCACCAACTGTGGGTTAGGGTGCCCTTTTCCCCACATCCTCTCCAGCATTTGTTGTTTGTTGATTTCTGTATGAGGGCCACTGTAACTGGGGTGAGGTGAAACCTCATTGTGGTTTTGATTTGCATTTCCCTGACGGCTAGAGATCCTGAACATTTTTTCATGTGTCTGTTGGCCATTTGGATTTCCTCTTTTGAAAATGCCTGTTTAAGTCCTTTGCCCATTTCTTAACTGGGTTGTTTTGTTACTGTGGAGTTTCTTGATCTCTTTGTAGATTCTGGTTATTAATCCTTTATTGGTTGTGTAGTTTGCAAATAATTTCTCCCATTCTACCGGTTGCTTCTTCACTTTCCTGACTGTTTCTTTTGCTGTACAGAAGCGTCTCCATTTGGGGTAATCCCAATTGTTCATTTTGGCTTTGACTACCTGTGCCTGTGGGGTCTTTTCCAAGAAGTCTTGCCTGTGCCTATGTCTTAAAGGGTTTCCCCATTGTTCTCAATTAATTTGATGGTGTTGTGGCATAGATTTAGATCTTTAATCCATGTTGAGTGGATTTTTGTGTAAGGTGTAAGGTAGGGGTCTTGCTTCCTACTTCTATATGTGGACATCCAGTTTTCCAAGCACCATTTGTTGAAAAGACTGTCCCTGTTCCAGGGGTTGGTTTTAGCTCCTTTGTCGAATATAAGTTGGTTGTAGATGTTTGGATTGATTTCTGGCATTTCTATTCTGTTCCATTGGTCTATCTCTCTGTTTTTGTACCAGTACCAGGCTGTTTTGATTATAGCTGTCCTGTAGTATTTCTTGAAATTTGGTATTGTAATGCTTCCGGCTTTGTTTTTGTTGTATAAGATTGCTTTAGCTATTTGAGGTCTATCTGAACTATCTAGACCAAGAATTTGCACCCTTTATTTCTGGAAAAGTCCGGATAATAAATACTTTAGGCTTTGTTTACCATAACATTTATGTATAGCATTTACTGAAGTCTATAGGTGAGCAATGGTAGCCAGTAGGTAGATGAGTGGACATGGCCCGATTCGATCCACAGACCTTAGTTTATCGATGCCTACTTTATGTCCTCATTTATTCTTTATTTGCTGTCTGAAGTAACTGACAAAGAGTTATAATACCTGATGCATTAACTTTTTTTAAAAAAAGATTTATTTATTTATTTATTTATTTATTTATTTGAAAGGCAGAGTTACAGAGAGGTAGAGGCAGAGAGAGAGTCTTCCATCCTCTGGTTCACTCCCCAGATGGGCGCAACAGCCAGAGCTGTGCTGATCTGAAGCCAGGAGCCAAGAGCTTCTTCTAGGTCTCCCACACAGATGCAGGAGCCCAAGAAACTGGGCCATCTACTGCTTTCCCAGGCCATAGCAGAGAGCTGGATCAGAAGTAGAGCAGCCAGGACTCGAACCAACACCCATATGGGATGCCGACACTGCAGGCGGTGGCCTTATCAACTATACCACAGTGTCGGCCCTACATTAACTTTTAAAATGCTATTAAAATTTAAAAATTCAGGCCAGTGCTGCGGCTCAATAGGCTAATCCTCCGCCTGTGGCGCCAGCACACCGGGTTCTAGCCCCAGTCGGGGCACCGGATTCTGTCCCAGTCGCTCCTCTTCCAGTCCAGCTCTCTGCACTGCCCCAGGAGTGCAGTGGAGGATGGCCCAAGTCCTTGGGCGCTGCACCCACATGGGAGACCAGGAGAAGCACCTGGCTCCTGGCTTCGGATCAGCACAGTGCACCAGCCCGCAGCGTGCTGGCCATAGCGGCCACTTGAGGGGTGAACCAACGGAAGGAAGACCTTTCTCTCTTTCTCTCTCACTGTCCACTCTGCCTGTCAAAAAAATTTTTTTTTAAATTCAGAGATGTGATTTTAAAGCTGTTTTAAGAGGCTACAGTTGGAGGAGCGTGGCTGTCAAACTACATGTCCAGCATTTTCCTTCAGTTTTGAAGACTGGATTTTTTTTTTTTTAAGATGAACAAGGAGAAATGGACAAAAGACTGATAAACCTCATTCAGATATTCTACTAGCTATTTTTAAAAGACTCTGTCTCATGGGGCCGGCACTGTGGCTCACTTGGTTAATCCTCTGCCTGCGGTGCTGGCATCCCATATGGGCACCAAGTTCTAGTCTTGGTTGCTCCTCTTCCACTCCAGCTCTCTGCTGTGGCCCCAGAGGGCAGAGGAGGATGGCCCAAGTGCTTGGGCCCTGCACCCACATGAGAGACCAGGAGGAAGCACCTGGCTCCTGGCTTCAGATCGGCGCAGCCCTGGCCATAGCAGCCGTTTGGGGAGTGAACCAACAGAAGGAAGACCTTTCTCTCTGTCTTTCTCTCTCTCACTGTCTATAACTCTACCTGCCAAATAAATACAAAAAAAAAAAAAAAAAAAGACTATGTCTCTGGTTCTAGACTCACATCTAAAGAGTTAATAGTTAAAATTCTGTCTTCTGGTATTTTATGCATGGCTTAACATTTACTTGGGTTTTGATGTCTTAGGATGATTCTTTTTTTTTTTTTTTTCCTCTGTAGTGAGGTCCAAGAGCCAAAGAAATCTCCACCACCTGCTAAAACCTCAGCAGCTGCCCAGTTGGATGAGCTCATGGCCCACCTTAGTGAAATGCAGGCCAAGGTGGGTACAGACTGATGATAAAGCTTCCAGGGCATGCAGGGGCCCCAGTTTCTCATTGTAGAAATCAGCTTTCAATTCTCTTTTCTTAGGAATTCTCTTAAATTGGCATTTCATTTTCCAAATTAAATTTAATTTAGTGGAAAAACTCAGGTTTATGTTGTTTGTACTCATTGTTGTAAGGAAACTGAGTGGTAAAATGAGGCATGTACCTCTGTAACATTTATATGATAAAAGATGGCTCAAATGAGAGATCTGGATTGAGTTCCCAGTTTCCAGTCTCAGCACTAGTCCAACCCCATGCCTTCCCCAAATGATGGAGTTCTTTCTCTCCATATATCTCTTTTCTCTCCCCTTCTTTTTCAAATATGTTAATTTTTTAAAGTTCATTGGGGCCAGCACTGTGGTGTAATGTGTAGACTGCCACCTGCAGTGCCAGTCCAACTCCACTTCTGATCCACTTCCCATCCAGCTCTCTGCTATGGCCTGGGAATGCAGTAGAAGATGGCCCAAGTCCTTGGGCCCCTGCGCCTGCATGGGAGACTCAGAAATTCCTAGCTCCTGGATTCGGATCAGTCCAGCTCTGGCCATTGTGGCCATCTGGGGAGTGAACCAGGGAGATGGAAGACTTCTCTCTCTCTCTGCCTCTGCCTCCCTGTAGCTTTGCCTTTCAAATAAATAAATAAGTATTTTTTAAAAAGTTAAGTTCATGAAAAATTGGAATTAAAAAATAAGTTTGGAGCAGGCAATTAAGAGGCTGCCTGGTATGCCACATCCCATATTGGAGTGCCTGGGTTTGAGTTTCAACTCTACTTCCAATCCAGTTTGTGCTAATGAATACTCTGGGAGGCAACAGATGATGACTCAAGTACTTGGGTCCCTGATAGCCATTTGGGAGACCCAAACAGATCTGGTTTCTCATTGGCCCAGGTCCAGCTGTTGTGGGCATTTGGGGAGTAAACCAGTAAATGGAAGATATGTCTCTATGTTTCTCTGCTGCTGCTCTGTTTTTTAAATAAATAAAAATAAATAAATAAAACTTTTTAAAAAAATCCATTTTGGTAAAAAGCTTGTGAAATACATTCATATTTTTCTTTTTTCTTTTTTTTTTTTTTGCAGTAAGTAATTTTTTTTTTAACTTTTATTTAATGAATATAAATTTCCAAAGTACGGCTTATGGATTACAATGGCTTCCCCCCCATACCGTCCCTCTCACCCACAACCCTCCCCTTTCCCACTCCCTCTCCCCTTCCATTCACATCAAGATTCATTTTCGATTATCTTAATATACAGAAAATCAGCTTAGTATACATTAAGTAAGGATTTCAACAGTTTGCTCCCACACAGAAACATAAAGTGAAAAATAATAGATGATTTTTTTTAAATGATGATGAAATCAGATCAGACCTATTGTCATGTTTAATCCCAGTGATAGTCAAGTTGGGAATTGATAATTTCCTTTTTTTTTTTTTTTTTCTTCTTCTACAGAAGATCAGTTTAGTATGCATTAAGTAAAGATTTCAACAGTTTGCACCCCCATAGAAACACAAAGTGAAATATATTGTTTGAGTACTCGTTGTAGCATTAAATCTCAATGCACAGCACATTAAGGACAGAGATCCTACATGAGGAGTAAGTGCACAGTGACTCCTGTTGTTGACTTTACCAATTGACACTCCTGTCTGTGGCATCAGTAATCTCCCTATGCTCCAGTCATGAGTTTCCAAGGCTATGGAAGCCCTCTGAGTTCTCCGACTCTTATCTTGTTTAGACAAGGTCATAGTCAAAGTGGAGGTTCTCTCCTCCCTTCAGAGAAAGGTACCTCCTTCTTTGAAGACCTGTTCTTTCCACTGGGATCTCACTCACAGAGATCTTTTGCCAGAGTGTCTTGGCTTTCCATGCCTGAAATACTCTCATGGGCTTTTCAGCCAGATCCGAATGCCTTTAGGGCTGATTCAGAGGCCAGAGTGCTATTTAGGACATCTGCCATTCTATGAGTCTGCTGAGTATCTCACTTCCCATGTTGGATCACTCTCCCCTTTATTTATTCTATCGGTTAGCGTTAGCAGGTACTAGACTTGTCTATGTGCTCCCTTTGACTCTTAGTCCTTTCATTATGATCAATTGTGAACTGAAATTGATCACTTGGACTGGTGAGATGGCATTGGTACATGCCACCTTGATGGGATTGAATTGGAATCCCCTGGTATGTTTCTAACTCTACCATTTGGGGAAAGTCAGCTTGAGCATGAAATACATTCATATTTTTCTTATAACATGCATTTTCCATCAACTTTTAAAAGTCTTATAGGGGCCGGCACCGCGGCTCAATAGGCTAATCCTCTGCTTGCAGCGCTGGCACTCTGGGTTCTAGTCCCGGTTGGGGCACCGGATTCTGTCCCGGTCGCTCCTCTTTCAGTCCAGCTCTCTGCTGTGGCCCAGGAGGGCAGTGGAGGATGGCCCAGGTCCTTGGGCCCTGCACCCGCATGGGAGACCTTGAGGAAGCACCTGGCTCCTGGCTTTGGATCGGCGCAGCGCGCTGGCTGTAGCGGCTACTGGGGGGGTGAACCAACGGAAAAAGGAAGACCTTTCTCTCTGTCTCTGTCTCTCTCACTGTCTAACTCTGCCTGTCAAAAAAAGAGAAGTCTTCTTGTAGAACATTGTCATATTTTTTGCAGTTATTTTTCACACTTAATATCAGTCACCCTTTCAGATCCTTCAGACACTGACCTTTTGAACACTAACCTCTTGAACATTAACTATATATACTAGAGGAGGAAGGAGATTTTTCAGATGATTCAAGTTTCTTGAAGGGACACAAACATTTTGATCGGTGCAATTATTCTAAGCAGTGAAAACAGAATAAGTAAAGGCCTGAAGGCAGATAGTAACAAGTCATATTCAGGAGATGTAGGGAGCTTGGCTGACCTTAAGCAAGGGATGACTTCTATTGCATTATAAAAGATGAAATTGGAAAGGTGAAGTGAGGGCTATGGATGAGAGATTTTGAGTGTCTGTCTGAGAAGTACAAATTTGATATGGGGGTGCTGGAGAAGCATTGTAGTTTTCTGATCCACAAAATATTAGGTAAATGGTAGCACACAGAGAGCAGAATTGGGATACAAGGTGATAAAGGATGAGGTAGAAATATTTCTGTAATTTGATGATCTCTCTGTGAATGGTTTCTAATAATTATTTTAAAATTTTGCTTGAACAAAGCCAATCCCTCAGCAAGTCTTATCTATTTCCTACTACTTTCTTCTGTAACACAGGACTAAATCATTATGCAGAAGTCACTCTGCATCCATTCTTGCTTCTCAACACTTGATTCTTTACTCTACTACTATGGGACATTATAAACCAGATTCCTTTACTCTCATGCTTAAAATCCTTTAATGGATCCTGTCACCTTGGAGTAAAACTCAAGCTTTTACCATGAAGACCCTATGTTATTTTGGCCTCTCTCTTTTCTCCATCATTTCCTGTCATGCTTAGTCTCTGCTCTAACCCTGCAGACCCTTTTGACTTTTAATGTATCAAACTGTTTCTTTCCCAGGGCCTTCTCTCCCTCTGAAATGCTGTGCCTACAAATGTCCATATTTTTGGATTCCTTCGTAATCACTCCAGTATTTCAAATATCACTTCCTTAGCAGGATCTTCTTGGATCCCCACATCTGAATCAATTCTTCCTTACCATTTTGCCCTTTGTCACTTCCATCTCTCTGTGTAACTTATACCTTATCTCTCATGTTTATTTGTCTGTTGTCTTTCACTCATAGAATGCAAATTCCACTGAGGCAGATACTTGATCTGAATAGTACCTTGCTTTATTCAAGCACCTAGAGCAGTGACTAACCCACACTAGATGTTTAACCGATATTGAAAAATAAACAAATAACAGGAAGATGTGACTAACTGTTGACCTGGGGTCATCCTAAGAGTTAGAAGGGGTATCATCCTCATACACTCAATTTTCTGTTGTCAGAAAAGACAGACATAGCAAAGGTGAGTCACATTTCATTTGGCTCAAGGAGCTTAGAACAAGGGAGCTGAAAGTGTTTTCACTGGGGTTAAATTGTTGGATTCCTCTGCTGCGCCAGAGGAAGGTTAGGGAATGGATCAAAGATCAGTTGGTAGAAACATGGGAAGCGGGATACACAGCAGACCCATAGAATGGCAGATGTCCTAACAGCACTCTGGCCTCAGAATCAGCCCTTAAGGCACAGGGATCTGGCTGAAAAACCCATGAGAGTATTACAGGCATGGAAAGCCAAAACACTCTGGCAAAAAAAAAAAAAAAAAAAAAAAAAACCCTAAATGAAAGATCTCTGAGTGAG